TTGTGTTTTCTTAATACATTTTTCCATTTATATAGATTCATACAATTTCTTCTTTTTTATATTTTTTATTGTGAAAATACTGTACAGAGGGGTTACAATTACATGGGCAAGATAATGAGTACATTTCTTATCAAGCATTGTAGCCTCCTCCTTTGTTTCCCATTCCCATCCCTTCCCATCCTCCCCTCCCTCCAATCCTCCCTGCTACCCCCACCCCCCGCACCAAAGTTGTACAGTTCATTTTTTGACATGACGACTTGTACATCTCATTATTGCAATGGGTCCACCTGTATCCCTATTTAAATTATTTGTTTTTCCCCTTCCCCTCCACAAATTATACCGACATCAAATACAGTGAAAGCAGGGGTTATACTGTGGGGGAGGGACATACAAAGCAACAAAGAAACCATCTTATAAATGTGTTAGAAACAATCGCATGAAAGAAAAAGAAAACATTTGAATACATATCTTAGGGTTCATTTCACTAAATCACCTTATCTGATTCATACAATTTCTATAGGAGAAAGTTGGGAGATATACAGCAAAAAAGTCACCTTCTCTTGCAATCAAACACATCACCCAACAAAAATAACTATTTTATTAAAAATTAACAGGCAAACTTTTTTATATTACCTTGTTTTGAGCTTTGATTTGCAGATAACTTGGAAAGCAGTTATTGGTCATGTTTATTTAAGTAGACAGATGCTGTCTCCTCCTGCAACATCACTGTCAGGATTGGGGTAGTTCCAAAAGAGCCAGGGCTTGAGTTAGAACACACTGAGGTCCTGCACTATCTCATGGCCCTTAGCTGTAAGCCAGGAGGTCACCCCTCCATGCCAGCCTCTCCTTCCGTGAGGATCAGTTGAAACCATGGACTGACTTACAAACATTTGTTCTTATCTGACATCATCAGAATAAGAGCTCAGAGATAAACAGCACTTGGGCCTCATCCTTAGGAAAACATTCTAGAAAGTGTAGTGCTCAATTGGAATGAGATTGGTTATTTTCCCCTGTGTAGATTTGTATCTTCTTGCTGGGCACCAATTAAATGAAAACAATGAAATTACAATAACTGTTTTTAAGTGAAAAAGCTCTTGGATATCCTATGATTAGCACACTTTTTTTTTCCATGCTAAGGAAACACAGCTGTTGTGTAAGTCCCAAACCCTACAAGAGAGCCTCTGCTTGTTAAGAGTGGGAAGAGATGTGTGGGGCTCAGGTGTGGCGATAGCTTGGGTCACCTGGGAATGTCTTTCTGAGGAATTGAGGTCACGGGTTTATTGGAAGATTTCAAAGTCTCCCTCTAAGTCACTCTTCCTTCTTTCTACAAAACACACACACAGAGAACTTTTTAGATAGGTGGAAAAGGCAGAGGGAAGTGAAATTGGTAATTAAATCATGACAAATGCAAAGTAGAAATACATTGTTGAAAGTCAAATAATAGTTATTACTCAACAGTGAAATAATTGTCATTCATAGACTAACAAAGACACTATTCAGAACAAGAGTCTCTGACTTTAATATCCCTGAAGCTATTTTTAAATGCATATTATACAGCAGAAGAGAAGTTAAAGTTTTGTGGCTTGATCCATGTTTATAATTCTGATTATATAATGGTCTTATTTTTTTTGTTTTTGACTTCAAGTGTTTTATTTGCTCAATTTATTAATAGCTTGAAATATTTTTTGTTTTCTTGTCTTGCATCCTACAGTATTTTGCCCTTCAACTAGCAGTGTGAAGTGTGTCTCTGTAAACTTGCTGTTTACACACACTTTGTTTTATTATGAAACTAAAGTTTTTTTATGATAATATGGTACTGATTATGACCATGGCATTAGGGGTCTTTTAAGTAGATGGATAGTTTAAAGCTCAGCTCTTATATATGTAGTGATGTCTTCATGTTTGCACATGTTATCAAGGGGTGTCTTTTCATCTAGACAGTGGCTTGGATACATGGAAGATGAGTCTACAGGACAGGAGTGGACAGAGCTGACATCAAAGAGTCTGCAGTGGTAGCTGAGCAATAAAGGCAGAAGCAATGCCAATACCCCTCAGGTCATGTAAAGCACCACCCAGGTGAAATCTGTGACCTGTGAAGAGGCAAGGCTAGAGTTTGAATGTCACTTTCCCCCCAGGGATCCATATGCTTAGAAGCTTGGTTTTCATTGTGACCATGATGAGAAGTGGAACCATGGAGAGAGTCTCATGAGAGGTTCTTATGTGAACTGGGGGTGTGTTCTGGAAGGGATGTGCAACTGGAGATTCTTGGACTTCCTGTGTGATGACATGATCACTCCCACTTGTGTGCATTCCACCTTGACCCTCAATAGAGGCTTCATTATTAGGCCCTCACTAGAGGTCAAACAAATGGGGCTACCTGATCTTGGGAGAGATTCAGCCTCCAAATCTGTGACCTAAATAGAGCTCATTCTAGTAAGTAGCCTATTTCAGATATTTCATTATTATAGTGGAAAATGGAACTGATACAGGCAGGTTTTTCCAAGTCTTAGAACCTTTCACACACTGAAACTGTAGAATAAAGCTTCATGTTGAGGTCAAAGCCAAGACATACTAGAAATCAACAATATAGTCCTTCATTCTCCAGCTAATTATTGAACTCAAACTATGAGACACAATCTCCAGACACCTCCCCCCAAGAAAAACGAACATCCAGGCTCTGCTCTCAAAGACTCCACAGCGTGATAACAGAGAGAGCCGTGGGAACAGCAGAACAACATGCCAAGCCATCTGCTACATGAAGGATCCAAGTATAGTATGACATGCAGGAGGGCAGCTGCAGCAGCACTGGGGCAGTTTACTGCATAAGGAAGCGCTGAGCCCATACATAAAATAAAAACAGATTTCTGCTTCCCCAGGAAAACACCAAATGGCAGATGATGCAGGTGGCAGCAGGAGGGACGGAGGTCCCGGGGACCCAGGCTTGGAAGGGCATGACAGCTTCCGTGGAGGCTTCAGTAGTGGCTTCTGGGGTCGAAGTTGTGGCCGCGATACAGGCTGAGTTCACAGCTGCGGGGGTTGTCAAGGCAAGGCCGAAGACAAGGAATAGATCCTATCACCAAACTGGGCCGCCTGGTTAAGGATATGAAGATCAAGTCTTTGAAGGATCTATCTTTTCTCCCTGCCCATCAAGGAGTCTGAGATTATTGACTTCCTCCAGGGGCATCACTAAAGGATGAGGTGTTGAAGATTATGCTCAGTATAGAAGCAGCCTCGAGCTGGCCAGTGCACCAGGTTCAAGGCATTTGTAGCCATTGGCAATACAATGGCCATGATGGTCTGGGGGTTAAGTGCTCCAAGGAGGTTGCCACTGCCATCCTAGGGGCCATCATCTTGGCCAAGCTCTCCATTGTACCTGTGTGGTGAGGCTACTGGGGGAACAAGATGGGCAAGCCTCACACTGTTGCATGCAAGGTGATAGGCTATGCAGTTCTGTGCTGGTCCACCTCATCCCCATCCCCAGAGCCACTGGAATCGTGTTCACTCCTGTCCCCAAGAAGCTGTTGATGATGGCTGGTATCCATGCAACACCTCAACCGAGGGCTGTACTGCTACCTTGGGGAACTTCGCCAAAGCCACCTTTGATGCTATCTCCAGGACCTACAGTTGCCTGACCCCTGACCTCTGGAAAGAGACCGTGTTCACCAAATCTCATCAGAAATTCACTGATCATCTTGTGAAAACTCACACCAGAGTCTCTGTGCAGAGGACCCAGGCTCCAGCTGTGTCTGCAACATAGAATTTTATATAAGAATAAGAAAGTGAATCAAGCCTGTTAAAAACTTTAAAAAAAATAGATTATATGGAACCATGAGTCTTCACAAAATGTAGGTGAAAGATAGAAGTGGCCAAGATGATAGGATGGAGACTAGAGGTGTAAGGAATTGATTCCATTCAAGAGAGAACTGGAAAGCCAACATGGGTTGGACCACATTTTCCTGATGACCTATTCTATGCTACTGAAGCATTTCAGAGTGTGCCTTTGTTCTTCTACTGTACTTTATTGTTTCTTCCTGATCTTCTCTTCTACCTTCCCAACTGGTGTAAAATAGGTAGGATGGTAGCTGTGACAAAGACAAGGAATTGGTTTTACTAAATCTTTCTTGCTGCCATTCTTCTTCCATAACCTCCGTGCAAAGGGTCATGTGCAAACTGTCATGCAGACCAAAGTAGAAATAAAACCACAGGGGTTTTTTTCACTTGTCCTTTTATAGCAACAAGTTTCATTATAACTGAAGCAGGAAAAAATATATCCAATAACAAAAAGATTAAAGACCATAGGCATAATAATGCCAAATCCTTAAATAAATGGACATCTAAGCTTCATTCAAAATGAAGAGAAAACTCAGAGTAGATTACATGATTTTAGCCTTGAAGTCATGAAGTTTTAGCTTACTAACCTTCTTTTCAGTTAGCAATTAGGGAGAAAAAAGATATCTTCTTATTTCTTATAAGAATATTGAAAGAGTAATATACTTAACAAATTGAGAAAAATGTTCAATTTTTTCTGTATAAAATATTCAGGTTAGGATAGGCATGAATATGGGATGGTTTTTGTTAGGTTATACAAATAAATATCCACCACTGTTTTTAATCTGATATTTAACTCAAGGAAAACAAAGCTGAGCAAAAGCTAGATAAAATAGTTAAGGGGTAACAGGTTAAAGATCTAAGTGGAGTTGGGAGACATGGTATGGGGGGGGGGAATAATGGAAGGAGTAACATTGATCAAGATTCATTGTACTCATAAACTGACACACTGAATTGAAATCCCATGGTATAACAAAAGATGACAAAAATATTTTTAAAAATAAACATGAATGCACCTAAAAAACAGTACAAGAATCGATTATCTCTTTCCTGTGGCCATTCTTTTCTGCTTGACCATTATTCCATATTTTTAAGGGCCTCCTCCCTGGTTAAGATCTTTCTGTTCCCTGGGTCAAATTGTAATGCTTAGTGTCACTTCCTCTTCCTTCCAGAGCTTCTTTGAAGGGCAGTCTGCACCATGGGATTCTGCTAAGAAAGATGAGAACAGAATGAAGAACAGATATGGGAATATCATTGCATGTAAGTGTTAGCAGTGTAATTGTGCTGTTATATAATTTTCTTATGCGGTTGACCACCAGACTTGTATGGTGAGAATTTACAGTGCAATTACTGCCTGCTGCAAGAGCTGCTGCTATGCTCGTACTAAAGGAAGGAAAAATTATCTGAATATCCCTGCTATGTCAATGCACTCTCTCTGTGGGCCCAGTTTCACCTTTAGATTTAAGGTTTGGGTAACATAGGTAATGTTAAAATGCTGAGGAGGAAAACACATTATACAAGGAGCAAACATCCTATTCCTAATGTTACCCGGCTGCTGTCTGAAAATGAACAGAAATAATGATGCACAGCACGCCATGTGCCAGGAGCTTGGAGTGTGGTGCACACATTAGCTCATTAATCCTCTGGACACTGGGTTAGGTAGGTCAGTAATAGCCCCATTTTAAGGGCAGGAAAGCGAAACTCTGAAGTTAAATGATAGTCCCCATATCACAATACTCATTAGCAAAAGAGCAAGGATTATATCTCAGAAATTCCCAGTGCCAGTGAAGCTGAATGTTACCAATCCATAATGCCTTGGACGGGTTTTAAATCAAGCCCAGCCTCATTAATGTTCCGTAACGATGTGGAGACTTGTGGTAGATTGATGGGCCTCCTTCTCCCAGGGCTCGAGCCATCCATCCCATGTATTAAACTGCTCCAAATCATCCCTGACTGCATCAAGGTAGTGCAGAGCCCACTGTGGGGGCCTAACAGAATTAAGACTATTGACAAAGGAACGTAAACTGAACAACAGTGTGCAGCTAGGCCCAGAGAATATCGCACTCATCATGTCTTATTACTTATAAAGAGAACAAACTTAGAAGGTTAAGATATTCCAGGGGAGCAATATATTAGCTTTATTGATTGTGAAGGCACAGTTAAATTCAGTTTGGCTGAGTTAACATTTCTTGGTTTGACAGTTCTATTTCTCTCACAGTGATTGTACCCCGAAAACATTTTCTGATTTTCAAAATGTTTCTGTCTGGTCAAGCCCCAGGAATTCAGCTCTTACAAGTGAAGAGCTGATTTTAACTTTGTGTCTGTACTGGGCCTTGAACTCAGAGCCTGGGTGTTGTCCCTGAGATTTTTTTTTGCTCAAAGCTAGCACTCTGCCAATAGAGCCACTGATGTACTTCTGGCTTTTTGCTGGTTAATTAGAGATAAGAGTCTCATGGACTTTGTTGCCTGGGCTGACTTCAAACTGCAATTCTCAGATCTTAACCTCCTGAGTAGCTAGAATTACAGTCATGAGCCACCAGTGCCTGGCTGATTTTAATTTTATACTTGTGATTTTGAATTTGAATGGTATGAGATGAACATCTATCATATAGGTCATTACAAATGTTGATTCTGTTGCAAAGCAAACAGGGTGGAACTACGTAGAATATGAAATAACTGGACAGTCTTGTTTTCTTTCCCTTAGGCCACCAGTAAAGCCAAATACGGGCTTTGCAGGGTATTAGTAATGCTGGATTTGTGTATGTGGTAATGGTTTGTTTTAAAGCATGCCATACTTACGGCACTGAGGCTGTCCCAGTCCCGGTCTTTTATATACTGTCCCAGTCCCAGTCCTTTGTAACCCTCCTTGAGGGTTAGAGTTTGATTATCCCATGATGAATTAAGTTGGTACTTAAACTTCAACCATCTCTCTCATCTCCTTCATCTCCCAGACCCCTGAAATAAAGACACAGATTAAGTAAAAGCCACACACAAACGTGCACTTAAAGCAGGTGCTTTGGTCCCTAGGTTGAATCCAAAGCCTGCAATCCATTCAGAGATTCTGGAACTGCCTCTGTTAGGCTCCTGCAGCATCTCTGTTCTGATAGCTCTGTGCCTGGTGTCTAAGAAGGGCAGCAGGGACACTACCTAATTAATTATTTGTTCATTGGTTGTTTATTACTTATTGTCACATAGCTCAGGATGGACATAGAGAGAGCAGGTTATTAGAGGACTTTTTTAAAATAATGGGACAGGCGTGAGAAAGGGCATGGATGCTCACATATCACCTGGTCCAGTAGAGAAGCTGGGTAGAAGGTCTCACCCCCTGAAGAAAGCAGAACAAGAGATATATAAGTGGCTAATATAACTCCCAACACTGAACAACAAAACATATATTGTCTATTTTGTGTAGAACCATAAAAACCACAAATGCCACTTGATTATGGCATATTTTCATAGGGATAACTTAATCTTCATTTTTCAGGTTGAGATGTGACTTGTCTATAATCTCTGAAGTACATAATTGTCCTTTTACGATTGAAACAAAAGGGATTTCCCTAGGTAAATTATTGAGAAAAATGTGCTTTTGTAGACTTGGGGAGAGGTATAGTCCTGCAGGATGGCATGGTCTGATATTGACTGTTTCCTTGCTATGAAAAGTTTGCAGGCTCTCACAGTGTTCTGAGTGGCTCCTCTCCTTTAAAATTCTGGTTGCCTCCTGAGTCCTGCCCACCTTGCCACAACTTGACCCTCTGTATGTGTGGTATGCAGCCGTGTCACAGGAACATTGAACATGGTCTCCTGCTTATTTCATCTCATGGCTAGACAGATTATGTTCTTAAACAGACCCTTCATTCAATAAATATATTATTGATCACTTGCTGTGTGCCAAACACTATGTTAGGCACTACTATAAATAGAAGATTCAATGTAACTGAGTACTTACCCATAACAATTACAGTCTAGGTCCACTTCTAGTTTTTGAGTGATTAATTGAAGATAAGAGTCTCATGGAGACTTCTCTGCTCAGACTGGCTTCAAACCACAATCCTCAATTTCATCCTCCTGAGTAGCTAGGATTGGAGGCATGAACCACCAGCACCTGGCATATCTTATGGTTTTAGAGGCTGGGAAACCCAACATCAATATGGACAGACTAGGTGATGGATGAGAGCCTCTGCCATCTGCCTTGGATGGTACCTTGTAGCTGTGTCCTCCAGCAGAAGACACCACATAGGGAGAGTGGAAGTGTGAAAGGGCCTCACTAATTCCCTCTAGCCCTTCAATAAGGGACCCGACCTACCTAAAAGGTAGACTACATGGCCTAATTAACTTCTTCAGACCCTACCTCTCACAACTATTGCATTGGGGATTAAGTTTCAAGATGAATTTTGAAGGGAAACAACCTTCACACACTGTCACCAGGCCAGCCAGTCTCAGTTCAGCTGCTTCACTTATCACGTTAGTACAAAATCAGACAGAGAGCACAGGAACAAATGGGCACATGTTCCAATAAAACATTATTGCAAATCCTGGCAGGGCACTAGAGTTGACCTAGAGGTTATAGGACACTGATTCCTGGTTCAGTGGATAGATGCCATAAGGAAAATCTGTCATTTCATACCCAGATCCTATTTCTATCACCACCCAGATCATCTTCAGCTCTCAGAACTCAACCAATTATTTCAGCACCGCACATGTAAGAACTGAATGACCTGTGCTTCAGGCACAATGAAATCAGAGGTTTCACAGGTTAAAATCAGTGTGTTGCCCTCATCTGTGGGCCAGGCTAGACCACACCATACTTGCATGAAATAGTAGATATCAGGTCCATAAGGGAGTAGGAATCACATTGTGCATACACTGGTGAGAATCAAGAGGAAAGGGTGGGTTGGGAAGGAGGAATGAGATGACCAGGAAGGATCTTTTGGGCAAAAAAGGACAAGTATGAGTTAGAAGATAGAACTTGGAGTCCTTGTCTACTGTGCCAGTGACCTTGGCTGAGTCATATGCTTCCCAATGCCAGGATTTCCAACGTACATCGCTAGTTGTAGAAATGAACTGAAATGTCAAATGAAAACAAATCATTTAAATAGGGCTACAGGTGGACCCATTGCAACAATGAGATGTACAAGTGTTATGTTGAAAAGGAACTTTACAACTTTGGTGCGGGGCAGGGGGGGAGGGTTGGGGGGCAGGGGGAGGATGGGAAGGGATGGGAAGGGGAAACAAAAGAGGAGGCTACAATGCTTGATAAGAAATGCACTCATTATCTTGCCCATGTAATTGTAACCCTCTGTTCAGTATTTTCACAATAAAAAAAAAAAAAGAAAACAACATTGACTGCTATTGTCTGAATAAAGATCCAGCGTTTCTTTTGCATTACTTTTCACTACTATTAACTCTTCCTGAGCTTAGCAGTCTCATTCAAAATGAACAGAACCAAATGCTGGTGTTTCATGCCTGTAATCCAAGCTACTCAGGAGACTGAGGTCTGAGTCTCAAGGTTCTAAGCTAGCCCAAGTAGGAAAGTCCATGAGACTCTTATCTCCAATTAACCAACAAAAAGTCATAAATGGAGCTGTGGCTCAAGTGGTACATTGCTATCCTTGAGTGAAAAAGGCTAAGGATGAGCAGCATTCTTGCCCTCAGATCAAGCCCAAAGAAAGAAAAGGGGAGGGGAGGGGAAGGAAAAGCAAAAAGGGCAACATTTTGAAGTCTCAGGCTTTGAGTGATTTAGCTACTAAGTAATTACAGGACTGCCTTGCTGCCAGTGACCTGGCTTTCCCCCCACTTAGCTCTAACTTGTGTTTCTGAGTGGTTGGCCCTCACTGTAGACTTTGGTCCTAATTTGGGAGTTTGTATTTATTTTTTAACATTCCACCTATCTTCTACTCCATTCCCTCCTGCTATTTCTACAGTGTTTCCATATCAAGTTATCACGTTTTTTGTACCTTCTTAGTGCAGTGTCTAAAAGAGACTTCTCTCAACTATTCTGTCCATTATCCTCCTGTCCCTTTCCAGATCACATGAAGCCCTTCCCCGTACATCATGTTTCCTGTACTTTTCTGTGGTTTTTCTAAAATTCCTTTAGAACTATTTGTAATTTGCAGCTGGTCATTTATCTAAGTATTTTATGAAGGCTATATGGTGCCATATCAGAGATATCAATAATTTAGCCCACCTTCCATCAATTACCAATGCTTCTAAAACAGAGCATATAAATTCTTAGGTAGAGCTAGTGATCCATCCCAGCTAAC